GCTGCGTTGGTGGGGGTAACGAAATAATTTGGATATATCAACATAGTTGAAATGGTAAATTGGCCACCATAACGATTACAAAAGCTGATGTTTCGAGCGTTTTCCCTTCGTTGGAGCGAAGGACGAAGAAGAGCATAGAAGAGCGAAGGAGTGAATTTTGCTCCGATGAAGAGCTACCGCTCGAAACGTCAGCTTTTGTAATCGTTACGGTGGCCAATTTACCATTTCAACTTTGTTGATATATCCAAATTACTTCTGTACATCAATCTATTTATTAGATAACACACATTCATCTGTAATGCAAGAAATGAGATCTTCACTCTGATTTAATAGTAAGTACATTTTGAATACAAATTTACAGAAATTTTTTTCTTGGACCTTTAGGTGCCAAAATAAAATGATTAAATCACAATTCAGTAATAGTTAATGTTTGTTTTATTGTTAATTTAAAAGCCTTAGGACTTCAGGTTAAATCAATTTCAAACTAGCTAGTTTTGCATTTCCTCTGTTTATAAAAATGGCTCTGGTACTGTACCTGGAAAAATTTTAATTAATCTGCCTTTTCTTTCTGTGCCAATTTTTGAAATGTTATTTATAATGGTAAATAAAATAAATAAAAAACTAAATATACCTCTAACAAAGCATAAAACAAAACAAACTAATTTTAAATCATTCTGACCTAAAATTCATTTTAAATATCAAAATGTCTCTTAACATAGATTTTTGTTTAGGTCTTAACCAGAGATTCCAACCCTCCATTTTTAAGCAGACAGCTCCCAATACTACATGTATATTCACATTAAAGTGGTTGTTATTCTTCATTCACTTTATGACTCTGGTTTCTCCATGTTTCATGATAAAGAAGCTGTCTTCTGGTATTTCTTTTGCCTTGAGTGCTTCACTAAGATCCTTTGGTGGATCCATGTAATGCTACAGAGTAAGTGAAAGAAAATTATGTTTTCAAATAACTGCCATCATATCAATGACAAATTAAATTATAATTAACCAACAATAATTGTTACAACATTAAGTACTGCAAAGCTCTCAAGTAGAACTGATAATATGCATGTCACATAGCTTACACATTCGACCTTTCTAAGGTAGGGAGACATCTAACCATGATGGCCTCTTTACAGTTCTTTTTAAACAGGTAAGACAGGTCTTAACAAGATGAATGACTGTATAGGAGTTGAAGGGGAAAGTTTCAAATTAGATCTCTGCAGGCAGGAGGTTTACGATGATCCATCAATACCTCTTTTCCTGTAGGAAATGTTCCCCAGTGAATTCCTAACGAACAGCGAGATTGAACATCTTCATGAATACAAACAGCTTCTTTTGGATCAACATGTGCAAATTGTGCAAACCATCTGTGAAAAAGTTTTACAATATTGTGAAAAAAATATCAAGAAATTAGCATGAGAACAGACAGTTCAAAGTTATAAACAACAGCAAATAACAAAATGACTGGGAAATGGGATCTGGACAAAATTTGGAATGTGAGATGGAATTTACGCCCCTTCTCCTTCTTTTTCAGAATATCTTCCAATGCCCTCATTTTCAGAGAGAGACAATGTGAATAGAGAAGTCTTCCCTAAGAGTATTAACAAATAGATTTTCTCAACCTGGGCTTATAGGCACCAATTGGTATCGCTGCAAAGTCAAATGGTCCAAAGTGTTTTCCAATCTGCTTGAATCCTTTACAGTAACCAGTATCCCCAGCAAAGAAAAACCTATGCCTAGGCCCTATGATGGTCCAACTTCCCCATAACACTTGGTTTTTATCTGTTGCTGAGCGACGACACCAGTGTTGAGTTGGAGTGAAGACAAACTTTACAGTTCTGTGGCTTTGAATGTCAGTATCAGTTTTCTTTGAAAGCTCTGACTCCTCCCACCATTCAAGTTCCACGGCATTTTTACAGCCACTGCTCGCCATCCACGATTTTAGCCCCATGGGAACGAACCACTGTAGTTGATCTCCAAACCTCTGATGAAGTTCCTTGACAGTTTTTAAATCTAGATGGTCGTAGTGGTCATGACTAATGCAGACTGCATCAATTCTGGGAAGTTCATTTACTGTACAGGGAGCAGGTCTGTAACGCGTCATGCTGAACATTTGTGTGGGTCCACAGTAGCTGTTGAGGATGGGGTCAGCTAAAATATTGAAACCATCCATTTGGACAAGAACGCTGGCATGTCCAAGCCAAGTCACTTGAATGTTATCTGAGGGAGGTGATGATAGAACTGCACTGTCGAGGGTCAGTACAGGAAGGTTTTTCTCCAGTTCCTGTTCAAAACATTTTCAAATTAAACACAAAATGAATGATAATATTAACAATAAAAAAGACGATGTAATCGTGATAATAAAAATAATTTTCAATATTCTGATGAGGGAAAAAGACTCTAATTCTACTGTACTCTAGAACAGAGCAATCCCAAAAGAAATCTATGGTTTTGTCTTAACCAATTATTGTATTCATAATGAACAATGGGGTTATACGGGAATGGTGGTGATAAGGAATGTGATCAGTCACTGTGGTGAGCAAATGCAAGCTTTGACTTAAATTACGTAATTGAAATTATTCATGTCAAACTCACTGTACAATTATTTCATCCCACTTCTACAAAACAAGTTGATGTTTTTAACATATCCATATCTGTAGCAATGGAAGTTTAGGACAACTATCGATGAACGGAAATTATTGTTTTCAAATAATACCTCAGTGTTGAAACGAAACAGTTCTCTCCAACTTCCTCGAATTCCTCGTTCATTTTTCTCAGTTAACTTCCATGTTAGAACCTCAAACAATGATGGCATATGGGCGGTACCCCAAGGATCGACATAACGACCATTTACTCGTATTGCTCTTTGCAAGGTTTCTGATTGTTTTTCCTGTCCACCTTTGTTGTCAAAGACTTGATCGAAACTGTCCTTCCTCTTCGCCATGTTTACTTCGCATAACCGCGCGAGAGCTGAGGCTGAACAGTCAACAGTAAGGATATTACTTCGGCCAGCTTCGCCTATGATCGGCTTTTTCCGGGATTTTCTTCGAGTCATGTGCGCGTCTGGTTCGAGCAGGAGAGGTATCTGCAGAGGCGTGAAGGGAGGAATCTAATCCGATTAATCCATTTGTAATTATTGCTAAACATCTGCAAGACCCTGCCACATAGTAAATACTAACATTTTCAACAAGATGCCGACATGGCTTTTAGTGTTGTGCTCTTTAATCTTTGGCACATGTCAAGGGATGTTGTTCAATGTTACTCGTAACATATTAAAATCGGGACAGGATTTCTTCACAAATCTTGACCCCTCGGCAAAATGCCCCAACGAGCAATCAAATCTTGATGCCGGAAAACCTTGGTGCACGGAAAGGAAAGCCGAATGCAGTACTCAAGGCTGTTGTGTCTGTAAATGCCAGTATTCTGCTGCAACCTTTCGGATGGAAATAAATCCATACAACGCAAGTTGTGTTGGAAACAGAAACATTCGTACTTTTGCAGGTAGGCTCAAGATTGACAATTTATCAAAAGTAGACATCTGTTTAGACATTTCTTAGGATGAACCAGTGAGAATACTTTAAAATAAGCCGATTTTTATCCACCGATAATAAATACTCATAATTATTTTCTAAATTTAAGACATTTGGAAGAAATTTGTGGCCTCGCTCCGAGATTGAGTTTGTTAAATTAGAATTATCTGTGCTTTTGAATTAACTCAGGTAATCAAATCAATAATACTTCGTGAAAATTATGAAAATTTCACTGTATTCACCAGTTAGTCTCCCTCGCAGTCGTTTTTTCGGATGTCACGCAACGCTCCCACAAAAAGTTCTTTTTGGGGGAGCGTTGCGTGACATCCGAAAAAAACGGCTGCAAGGGAGACTATTCACCAACGTGATCAGTGTTGATTGGATACCATTACTAAATATGACGATAAGATTTATTTTCCGGAGTCAATATAATATATAGCTTATAAAGGGAAGTTGAAGCAACATTACCTTAATGGAATAGGTATAGTATAATGCAAACTTGACACTGGAATGNCGAAAATCACTACAAAAATACAAATGGAAACAACTACATGCTAAGCTTAGGGCTCAAACAAACATAAAATACTGAAACATACCAAAAGCTAGTATAGCTTAGAATCCGCTTTAAGGGCACTCTCAGGAAGGCAACAAATCAACTGAACTCACCGAGCAAACGGTTGTAACTTATAGTAAAATACAGGAAAAGGTAAAAATAACTTAAAAACAAATTTGGGCTAGGAGCGGTTAATTAAACAGGAATTACATAAGGGAAATGGGCAGTTAAACAGGAATTACATAAGGGAAATCGGAAGTTAAATGAATAATGCAATTAACACATTACTAATACAGTTAACACATTACTAACACAATTAACAGATTACTAACATTACTGACAAATCGCTAAAATTCCATAAAATAAAATAAACAGAATGAACATGATTTAAATAGAAAATAAGCGTAAGTGATTCTGTCATATCAGTTAACTGTGAGAGGCTTGCTTGATGTGGAGTGTGACAGAAATGTTGATTAATTGTGAGTCATGCAAAAGATTCCTTCTCCTCTTCTTCCCCCCTGGCATATTAAATAACGGAAAATTATGCAATTATTGCTGTCTATAAACTGGAAGATTTTACACCACTAACATAGTTTGTACATACTGTACGATTTAACCAGGTTAAAATCTTCCAGTTTAAAGACTAAGATAATCACATCTTATTTCATTAAATATATTCCCCTGTCTCCTTGCATTTTAAGCCCTTGCAAAATTAGGTGCACTGTTGTGATTATCCAGTTCTTTTCTCTTAAAAAGGCTGTTCAAAGTTGTTTGCATCAGAAGACGTGAACCATCCATTGGTTGTTCTGGATCCCTCAGCATCTGGTTTCAAGGGAATCCCAAACCCATCAAACAAATGCAAAGTGAAGTCAGTGCAATACTTAGACACAAAATGGAAACCACTTGCCAAGAAAGATGCTGATACATATAGTATAAGCAGCCTTTCAAGCTGGCCCTATGCAGCATTATCGGTAGGTACCCTTGAACAAACTTAATGATAATTTTTTTCTTCCTGCATTTACCTCTGAAAAGCTTTAGAGCAGCACAGCACCAAAAAAAAAAATCCAATGCAATACAGTACAAAGCATTCAAAAAAGGAATTCATACATTTGAATTGCAGTTCAATGAGCTCTATGTCTTTCTGTTTGTCACAGTGGAACGGACGTCTGAATTCTGCTTATTTCGGTTACATCACAAGAGTGAATGTTGACTGTGGGAAAGGACCAAAAGCACAAAACTACTGTGTTCTTTTCAAAACAAGTGGATCATTGTCAGGTACTAAGTTTTCATGTTTCCATTTAAATAGGATTGTTCCCTTCAAGAGGTCCTCCTCTTACTTTAGTTTATATGGGTATCGATAATAATGCAGTGTAAGTAAAAGCATTGGTAGCTCCCCCTTCCCCTCAAAACTCCCCTAACATGGAATGCTATTCCAGTACAAGTTACCACTCTAACAGTCTCCTGGAATTCACATCTGACTAGTAATTTTTTTCTCCTTACAAAAAAGTGTTCTACTATGACCTTGATGGACAGATTTTATTTGGGTACATTCAAAGCAAAATAAATTTAAAGTGATCTAAAGGAAGGAAGTGATTTTTTACAATTACCTAAAGGAAAGGTAAAGGAAAGCGATTAAAAGGATGTGTAGTTAGAGACTCCCCAAACATCTTTGGTTATTTTAAAAGACAGGTTTCTCTACAAAATATTTCACACCTTTGACTATAAAAAAATAATTTCAGAAAAACTTTTATCCCAGTAGTTGCAGTGTGAGTGACTGAGCTCTGAGGAAGGATAATTTAGTTCCTTCCTCCAACTAGCTAACAATGACACTGGCTCAACTGAAGGGAAAAGAAAAAGAAATTTATGTAACTAGTTAAATTGAAATTACCTTTCCAGCTACCAGTTCAATCCATTTGCTTTCACAGACTTGAAATGGTTCCACAACCTGAAAAGAGCTTGCACTCTTTTGTAAGTGACTGGTGCCTCTGAAAGTACTCTTTTTTTTCTCTGTTACATGTAGTGACCATTCCAGACCCTTTAACTCAAATACCACCAGTTACTAATGCACAGTCAACCACAGTAAAGCATCCAACAAAAAAAACCACCAAGAAGGCTCCCACAGTAACAACAGCAGCAACAAAAATAACAGCAGCAGCAACAACAACAAAAGCAGCAGCAGCAACAACAACAACAACAACAACAGCAGGAACAACAACAACAACAACAACAGCTATAACAGCAGCAGCGGCAACAACAACAGCAGCAGCAACAACAGCAGCAACAACAACAAAAGTAACAACAACAACAAAAGCAACAAAAAAGACAACACGCTTTAGTTCAGTTGTGACTGTGAAATCAACTACAAATCATGTGGAACACACAACACAAAGGACAGTTACATCTGCAAATGCTGAAACCTACCCTGAAACTAAAGTATGTGAATAAACTATATACTTACTTCTTTTGTCTAAGAGCCTCTTTGTGGTTGTGCCACTTACACACCTTATTAGCTTAATTTAGGGATTAAATTGATTGCGGCTTAGGGATTAAATTGATTACAACATTTCCCTGTTATCATTTTTTTTGTGATGTTAAACCATTAGTTTTTGTTTTAGTGTCGACATCAAAGTGAGATATGGAAATTAGCCAAGTGCTTGTGCTTTTCACTTAAGTTAGGCCCTTTTGGCTGCCAGGGTTTACTACTTGGATAATTGACACATAAATCTGGTTTTGTTGACTTCTTTTCTTGTCTTGTAATTTTTCAATTTCATTCCTGTACTTTGAAGAGTTAGCATTAAATTTATTATTTTCCAGGTAAAACCAGACTGACTGTAGATAACAATCAATTTATTACACGACTCGGGCAGTCAGAGGGCCAATAACTAAAATCAACCAATCAAAATGCTCTATTGCCAGTCAATATTCTCTCAGTATTGGATCGGGCATTGTCCCGAATGGTCCCGAATGATACCGCACTTGAGTGACCCTTTGAACTTAAGTCGAATAATAAATCTCTTATTAACCAAGCTTGCTGGAAGCATACTGGAAGAATATCGGTCCTCGGTCTCTTTTGTACGGACCGAGCACAGCTCGGTCTGTACTGTCAAGACCTCGGGCCAATATTCTCCCAGTACGGCCCTCATGCTTGGTTAATAAGATATATGTATTCCACTACTCTGAATTTGTTTCCAGGCCCCTTCCTCTAAGCCAACAACAACAGGAAGTACAAGAGGCACATTAGCAAAAACACAGAAGGCTTCCACAACAGAAAGCCAAGTTATTACAGGTCATCCTTCTGAAACGTTGCCAACAGAATCAACTGCAGGAGATTTTGCAACTGTGGAACCAACTCACCATAGTTTAGAAAGTAAAGAGCCAGAAAATAATGAAATTAAGTTTAGTGCTCAAAAACAAGACAAGCTGGAGGACTTGATGGTTTTTGTAGTGGTAGGAGTGGTAGCTTTGATCTGTGTCGCTGTTGGGCTGCTGTGCACTTGGGTCATAATCAGTCAGCGGAGGAAGCGCAGGTAACTGTCATTCGTTAGTGGTGGCTTTGAATGTATTTTGTGTTTGACACTTTCAAGTCTGGCAAAAGCTCTCCCTATGTGAGGCCACTTAAATGGAAGCTACTGATCAGTTGTTTGATGTGTTACTGTTTAGTATGCCGAATAAGGTGGCTTTTAAGTCTTTAATATATATGAAACCTCAGTGACTAACCATTCAAATGAAAGCTATAATTATGCAGTGCTTTTAATTGTTTAAACTATCTATTTTTACTGTGCAAGGTGGTTGTGAATCTAAGGGTGGGTTATTTGCACAAGGTCTGACCCAGACCATGGGTTTTATGCAATTAGTAATCCTCAGGCTCTCTCCATAAGAGGATTGATTTAATTCAATTAAAATGTCCATCCACTGTTAGCTTTCAGCACTCTTGACACCATTCACACAACAAAAAGCTTGAATTTATTTAAAGAATTGGCACTAAGGGTCTCTAGCCAAATCCCTAGGTTGTTGGAAATCTTCAGCTGGGTTGATTAAATGGAATATTAGAGAAAATGTGGAGTAAACCAGATGATATTCAGAGTGTAGAATGTCAATTTAGGAGAGAAACCTCAACTGCGATTGAAAATTTTTCTCTCACTTGTTAGTTGATTAAATGGAATATTAAAAAAAAGGTTGAGTAAACCAGATTATATTCAGAGTGTAGGGTGTGAAAGGGGAGAAACCTGAACTGTGATAGAAAAATTTTCTCTCACTTTTTAGGAATGCTGCCAGTTATGGTGCCGGAACAACAGGTAGAGTTATTATGTATCCTTGAGTTACACCCTTTCACTCCTGAGATCTCAATAGGAATTCTTCTTACTGTCTGCCATACCATTCTTCTTATATTACTTTGGAGAATTTAGTATTGGATCAACTAAAAGGGTCCAAAATTGCGCTTTCCTGGTCGCCAATGTGACTAAAAACTTTGCACTTGCAACCAGAATTTCACAACTGGTCGCCAGTGGGCGATTAACTATTTCATGCCACGATAATTATACAAACAATAACTTTGATTTTCAGCCAAATCGATGTGTAGCTTGTGTTTCGCTGCAAAGGAAAAATTTTATTGTCACTGTTTGGCGACCACTTTTTTCCCTATGGCAACTGAAAAAAAAATCCAGTCGCCAGTTTGTGCCTGCCTAATAAAAGTTAATTTCGGACCCTGACTAATTATGTCTCAATCGATATTCTCGTCACCTGTCTGCTTGATGTTGTATTGATACTGTAAGGAGAAATTCTATCTTGGTCACCCCATGGGAGTTAAAGGTTAGCATGAGTGAGATAGTAGTTATAAGCATAGTTCTCAGTGAAGTGAAGCAATATGTCATCGTTGAATATCTTTACTCTTATGTAAAAGGTTTACTTGTTCTTCCAGTTAGCAGAGAGTCGTCTTTTCCAGTACCGTGTGAGCTACAAGATAAACATTCTGTTCACTTTACTGTGGCTGAAAGGCTTTCCTGTTTGTTCTTTGATTTTTGTATTTCTTGCTTATTTTATTTTCATGCAAGTTTGTTTTATTTGTTTATTTTTTAGTTATTACAAACCCTACAACTGGTTCACAGGTAAGTGGTAACCTTAGCGCTTTAGCTTTTACAGGCTGACTTCAGTAATTCTGCTTTTTGGCTGCTGTTATTTTATTCATTGATTAGGTGAGAGAAAGTAGTGTTATACCAATAAATCACAATTGTTTATACATTTTGAAATACTATTTTGCTGGTTAAAGTAAGTAAAACTTTGAGAAAATTAGCTAGAACTTCTTCTGGAAAATGAAAGGATTAAACTTGCAATGCACTGTCTTTGTTTTTTATTTACGAGGATCGAACCTTACATTCAGTTTTGCTTTGCCCACTGAATGGCTTTTCTATCGGTTGATCACCTGCTCTGCGTTTTGATTGAGCGTGGTTGAACGTATAAAGCCAATTGAAAGTAACAACAGTTGCTTAGCAGAAAAAACAAATTTTTCTCAAGCAGCCAATGAGAACTCGAAGGAATAACACGCAATCAACTTGAAGCACGGAAAAGTGCGATTGGCTTCTCATTGATTGAAAGGAAGTTGCAGCAGAAATTGTTGATACCTAGAGCAATATTCTGTTGGTTGTCGGAAATAATCCGGTGTGGCATGCGCTTTATATTCTAATTCCCTACCCTGCTCAAACGAATACAAAACGTTAATCATGCAATGAGCAACCACAATTGGGGTGTGTCAACACAAGCCTTGTTGGACCCTCTTTATTAAATGCCTTTATCGACAAAACAGATAGGAATTATACAACAAACAATGAAAACTCGGAAATTTAAAAAATACAGCAAGAAAAGAAAAAACACCTTACAAAACAATCTAAACTATGTTCGTATAACAATGATTCCGTAAACATGCGAAACCTTTCATATAGCAGCATGCAAAAACTACGTCTAAGAGAAAGTGATAACGCCTAGTCACTGAGTATTTGATTTAGAGGGCGTCAGGACGGTCGTAAGACGCGAATGAGTATACATGACAATAACTCAAATATATATAACCTTCCGCTAATGAAGCAATTGTGACAGCGTACCATTTAACTCCCGCCAAAGAAAGGGTTACATAACCCACGATAAATACATTATTTAGCTTCGCAATGTAATCCATAAGACTCGCATCACTTTTTTAAAAATCAGATGGAAAACTAACCCTATTTTTTTTTTTTTTTTTTAAAGTAATTACCTAGAGAATTTTCACCCACTGAGCTGTTCTGTGCTTTATATTGTAGAACCAATTCCCTATGACTGGCCTTTTTAAGAATCCCATCTGCGATGACGCAGTCTACATAGAACCAGAAGCTATGGTTCGCAAGTCTTCCGTCAGTCTTGTAGGTAAGTTGATCATAACTCAGACTTACCCTCTTCCCCAGGGGCTTTCCTTGATCGATTTCTGAAACTGAATGAGGAAGTTTTAGTCAGCCGAGCTGTCGTTTGGGCATGCCACGTGACAATCTCTGTGGGGGGGGGACAGGGTGTGATGAGCCCAAACGATGGCGGGAAGTGTGAAAACACTTTTCATTTACGATTCCAGATTATCATCATTACATTGGCTGACCTTCAAATAGCCATAGGTAGTATAAGACGGGTTATCGATATAACTAACCAAACTAATCTGATTAAACTAACAGTAGATCAGTGTCGGGGCAAGCGTAAGTTGGAATCTGGGTAAGTAAGACCTCAAACTCAGTTTTTTTAAGAAGAAATTATTGGAAATTATTTTTTTCTATATTTATAGGAAATCCTTCCTACGGGAATTTTGAAGATTTGCTAATAAAGAACAACGGAGCGAAGGACAGCCAAAAGATCCCGCTGAACAACGCCACTAAAAAGTCACTTAATACGTCCACTAGAAATGTTCCTCCTGCCAAGGAAAATTTTTATGACTCTGCTCACGTTACACCTCATTACAGTGGAAAACCAAATCAAGATACACCTGCTTATCAGAGCTTAGTTGAAGCGAACGTTGTGGCCGCAAGTTACACATCGGATCCCACTCTAAACACTTACCAGAGTTTAAATCCCGATGGATTGATCTATCAACCTTTAATAAGGAACGGGGTACATAAGGTAATTAAGAGTACCCTATTTATATTTGATCCGTTATGCTAGAGCGTATTTCAATCGAGTGCCGTTCAATCAAAATAAAAGTCACCCAGCGACCAATCAAAAGAAAGAAAAATTCGTAAAGAGCCAATGAGAACTCCGGTGTACCCAAAGCGCGGGAAAACGCCGGTGGCCAAGTTCTGCATCTGATTGGTTGAGAGGGCTGCATGAGTCTGCTGAGCAAATATCAGAGCGAAACAATGCAAAAGCAGTCCAGTTCTGGGGCTCGTTTCTCGAAAGTCCCAATAACTTAGCGGGCCCGTAGCCACGTTTTAAAGTCAAAAGGTATAGGATAGAAAAGCAGGTTCTGGCACTCAAGCCAGTCCATTTTGTTTCTTTAACTGATAGTTTTATTGCACTATTTTCAAAACTTGTGAAATCCCCATCTTGAATGAAAACAGAACCGCTTTACGGGCCTTTTAAGTTACCGAGACTTTCGAGAAACCGGCCCCAGGATTCCTTTTGAAACTTGCTTGAAATTAGGTCTTAGTTAAAGAACGCGTATCCATGACAGCCTTTCCTCGGGAGTGATGCATCAGTGAGGGACATCCTCAGCTGCAACATTAAGTCTTTCAAACGAAATAATTTTCACGAAGATTTGCACTTTAAATATTTGATGTTTTCAATAGAAAGTTTTGAAACGCCTCTGATGATTTCATTCCTTACATTTTTGTTTCAGTGTCAAGATGAAATACCTGAATATCTCTCTCTTCTCAACCCTGGCGAAACCCCAGGGAAAATCTTGCCTAGCCAACCTGAGTATCAACCACCCTACACCACAGGTCGACCCCCTGCGGACTTGGAAGAATCACCAGAGTATGCTGACTATGCAGATTTAGACGAACTTGAAAAGATATCGGCAAACGAGGCCTCTAGTAATAGTTTAAGTGGAGGAGAATGCTATTCAACACCACTATGTAATGTCCCGGAGGGGCCCAACTTTGAATACGCCAATGCACCCATGTACGACGTCCTGGAGGGCCCTAATCAGCATCCTTATGGCAACGTCAACCTTGCATTTGAGCCACCTGCGTACGAGGTCCTTGAACGACCAGATTCAAATTGAACCGGGAGAACGCACTAAACATGCTCAATCGTGAGGGACCGGTCATTATTTATTGCCTGAGTAGGTAGGGGGGTGCTGGAATTTGGCTGTTTCACGATGAAACTTACCTTATCCCCCTCCCCCCCTTAAGACTGTAATAGTCTAATGATCCCCTCCCTCCCTAGTGGCACTTAATTGGCAGTTAATTCTATCTAGTTCCTCCTTTATACTCTGTATATCCCCCTCCCTCCCCACTGAAAACCATGTATTCACCCCCTTCCCCCAAAAATCCTGCGACCCCGCTCCCCTTTCCAGGCAATAAATAAGGACTGGTTCCCAAGTCTCAAATAGAATCTCTTAACAAATCACTGCACTGACGTCAAACTTTCACCAATAATGTACATATTGAGGAAAACTTCTGGCTTAAAATAGGTCGCAACCGGTTTTCAGGAATCGAATTTACAGGTTTTAAGGCGTTAACCCAGTCTCGGAGTCAAACTCTGGGGCAGGTTTATGCAATTAACTTAGTTTAACCCAGAGAGCAATGTTTCTCCATCCCCTCTCCTTTACAGGGCACTTCAAAACGGGAGAAAAATTGGCCCTTCTGATGAAAAATTGGGAAAGAGTATATTTGATTGTACTTGCAAGATAAATGTCGGTCAATGTTGCTAGTGGTGACGTCATCGATGCGTTTGTCCTCTGGTAGATCATGAGCAAGAACCACTCGAAATGTGTGTACAATTCGTTTAACACAAACTAAATGGATCACAATCCGCCCGGCAATCACAATTCATGAACGGATGGAATTTCAACGGCAATGCACTCTTTGAAATCTCTTGATTCTGGAATTCGCATGAACATTTATTATCAATCAGTGAAAAAACATATATTTGAAGAAAAAGGTTTATTTTAAGATTACTTATCATTCATTGTAAATATGTTTGAAAAAAGTATGTAAATTCAGGTACCAAAATCATATTTGATCGAAGATTATTTTATTAAATAACCGATTCTATCATTTAAAGGTTCTAATTTCTTCATGTTTGAGCGCTCTTATCCAAATTGGAATATCAACTTTCAGTGGAGATTTTCCCACTTTGTGCATTTTGAAAAGTTAACTTTGAATTCCCTAAGATTGTTGTCGGCAATCCTTGTGAATTTTCATTTTTATTATTCATCTACGTTCCTATTTAGTCTTTATTGCCGCTGTAAAGGAACTTCGGAATAGCATAAGGCTTGACCAGCGAAGTGAGGGTACGAAATCATGGGGAACATTTCGGACCCTCTTGGACCCAGACAGTCTTGGCCATACCATTGAACCGTTGTATTTTCTTTTCCTTCAAATTTAGACGCATGCCACAGATAGAAGCCCGTTAGAGATTTCGGCAGTTGATTTCTGCGGAAGATAGAATGTAAAACGTCAGAATTATCCTGGTCGAATTGGCCAGACGTAGCAGTGGTGTTCTGCAATGGAAACATCCCTTTTTAAGAATCGCATGGAAGTTATACTTTCATCTCAATTTGGCTGCAATTGAACTTTCCATCAAGGAGGAAGTAGGTAAGGGTCAGTTTCCTCTCTGGGACTCCCTCGTGGCTAAATTTGCCCCGTTGGTAGACATTTTCTTTACTTCTAAAAGAGGGAGATTGTAGCTACACATTTCGTTAGATGAATTGAATGATTGCAATCCAAAATAATTTTTGACTACCGCTGAATGCTTCAAGAAGGTAATATTCTCGAGCATCCGTTCTTTAGTACTAACGTTATCAGAGCTACACGAACTGCCTTTGAGGCCAGCGCTCAAAGCTGAAAAATTCCTTTAAACGGAATGAAATCCAATGGTCAACTAGGCAAATCCCTGATTTATTCTAACGGTCGACTCACGGATAAGCTAAAACATCCTGTTTTTCTCGGAAAATTTGCAATGAAATTGCGATTCCAGCGCTCAAAGCTGAAAAATTCCTTTAATGGAGATGAAATGCGAAGGTCAACTACGCAATAAGGGTCAACTTGCAGAGAAGCGAAAACATCTGTTTTTCTCCGAAATTTTTACAATAAAATTGAGATTCCATCGCTCAAAGCTGAAAAATTCCTTTAATGGGGATGAAATGCAAAGGTCAACTACGCAAATCCCTGATTGATTCTATTAAGGGTCAACTTACCGAGAAGCAAAAACATCCTGTTTTTCTCCGAAATTTTAACATGAAAATCAAATATTATGTATCCCTATCTGGGTGAGAAATAACTTAAACAAGAGGTCGAGGGCTTCTGTACCATCCCGTTCTCTATCGCCGGTATTTTTAGTCGTTCTCTGACATTGAGAATTTGAATGTAACATTTCGAAGACATTTTTTAACCCTATAAATAATGCGTATTTTTTGTTTCACTGTTGAGGTGTAGTCTGAACTACAATTATTGCCACCCAGGACCATTGCTAAGAAAACTTTAGGTGATAGATCATTTATGGCGTCTGCTCCTAAACTTTGGATCAGATTGCCATCAAATATAAGAGCAGTAAATGATCTTAATTGTTTTAAAACACTTCTTAAAACACATCTCTTTAGACAGGCATTTTCATGTTTGCCTTTATAGTTCGTTTTCATATTTTTTAGGCAGTCAAATTGTATATTCTTAGCCTTTAATAGTTCGTCTACATATTTTATTCTGCTTAGTCATATTGAATAGCGCATTAGATCATATCCACATGTATTTTGCGCTCTATAAGTAATCAATTATTATTTATTATTATTATTAATATCTACTCAACAATGCTTACTGATGGTCACATGGTAACGCTATCGAATTTCGTTATGTGTTTATTTCTGGAACGATGAGTTAGTAGTTTGAAAACACGAACCAAGCGGGCATTTTCCTTGTTCAGAGACACCAAAAGCATGACTCAAACTGTTAATTTACTTACAGTCCTTTGTACTGTGTGTTATTTCATCGTCAAAGGTCGGACTCATGTCGTTTATTCTACTTTGACTCGAGATGTCAAAGACTACTTCCCAGATGTTTGCGGAAATTGCCTCAAATATGGGGCGCAAAAAACCCAAAGGTTTTGCCAATGTGAACCACTGAGGTCAGTTTTTCTACAAAATGAAGGGCGATGCAAGTCTAGGAATACGTTTGTACATGGTGAGGCAATTGAACTTAAATAGCTTGTTCGGTTGTATTATAAAGCATGTTCTGTACTGTAACGTCTAACGACAGTAATTGATGTTAGAAAATCGAGTACAGAGATAAAAAATGTAGGTATTTGTTAGAGACTGAGGCGAAGGAACTTTTACCTATCCATATCAAGCTAGTACGCTGAAGTCCAAGCTATTCGATGCCCATACATATGCTTTTCAGGCGCCTTCATAGAAGTGTATCTTGTGGGGCTATTACTTTATTCTGTGCTATAAAGCACTGAATAACAGAATATTTTTTGCGCCAGCTCTTAATTAACACTCAACACTCATTACTCAAGACCATAACAAATTAAAAGTCGTATCTTACTTAATTAGATGTACTACCAACGCCTTTAATATAAAGACCTTGAGAAAATTTCCTGGTTTTGCCGTTTTATACCTATCTAGCCCTATTAATAGGAATTCCTATCAGCATTAATCTAATGAACATTTATTCAGTGTCTGATAAGTTTTGCTAATTAACAAAAATATGAATACAATATATGATGCTTATGGGGCTGTGTGGAGGTCACAATGGCAAATCATGAGAGTTATCACCTGTTACAGACAGAATTGGATGAGACAAAGTTCTCTTTAGCAATTAATCAAAACTGTGACAAATTTTGAGAAACAAACTAGTCATTTGTTTTACATTATGGTTAACTGACAGAATGCACGACAACAGCATTTGCACACCTACTGTCTAATACCACAAGTGTGATGCATAAACTGTTTAATTTCACTGTCTATATACGAACATGCTCAAAAAGCGCTTAAAGTGGGCTGGTGATAACCAATCACCAAGAATTTTTTTTATACTCTGATTGATGAAAATGGTGATTGAACTGAATATGGAGTACAATTTGTATTAGATAATCACATGATTTCAAGTGCAATTTGGAATAAATAAGCATGAGTAAATTTTTTCAAAGACTAACAAAATTACATGAGCCTGTAGGGTGAGTGCA